ATGCTTTACCTTTGCCACAAGTTTCCTGCAAGACTTATTCCTTCAAAAGGGAAGAGTTCCTGACTTCGTACTACATATCGTCAAGGTGTGTCCAAAGTTAGTCCTAGTCATGGACATGGTAAAAGATTAGATGCATACGTCAATGAGATTCCAATTTGACATAAACCATAAAACAGATATATAACTAGGGAGGGGCAAATATCCATTGGTTATGAGTAACTGCGGTTACCCATCCATTTAAATTAAATGGTTACGGTTATGGATAACCGTTTAGATAAATAAACGGTTATGGGTATAACTGTTTACCCGCGAAATTTAAATGGGCGGTTATGGGTATTAACCGCGGTTATAAACGGGTAACCGTTTACCTATTTATTTTATATATGTAAAATTAACATAAATCATGTTCTCGATCCAATAATACTAAGCACCCAATAAATTAGCAAGGAATTCATCGGTCCTTCTCTCAATAACACTGCAACAGGAATGATGATTCTCAACATCAAGGAATTCATCAAATTAATTTAAATTTCTTGCGGGTAACCGTGAAATTAACAGAAATGCTTTGACAGAAATGTCTTCTAAACAATTTTTGTAACCCAATAATACTTAGCAAATATTATATTTACCTTCATTGGTAACAGTTAAAAATATTGTTTGTAAATTATTATTTCAATTATTGGAATGGTATAAGGACTTAAAAAATTAAAATACGGAAATGTATGATGAATGTACCTATAACGGTGTTTAATTGTCAAAATAAAGAAAATTATGACATTTTTTTTTTAATTTTCAAGTTGTTAAAAAACATGTAGACGGATGAAAAATGGGTAATGGTAAAAAAAAAAAGATAAACGAGTTAAAAAGGGTAAATGGGTAAACGGGTATTAAACAGTTACGATTAAATGGGTATGGTTAACCGTTTATAAACGGTTATGAGTATGAGTATAACCGTTTAGGTAATTACCCAACGGGTAAATGATTATGTGGGTATGAGCATAAACGGTTATGGGTAAATAACCGTGGTTACCCGCCCGCCATAACCGTTGCCCATCCCTATATACAACAACTAATATAGTGGGGTGTGATTGCAATGATACGTAGCACTCATTTTCTGCACCACTCAATGCTACGTCTTGTTGAAGAAAAATCATGAAGAATATAAAATCTTTGTTAGAGAATGGAGTCTCAGATCGAAAATATAACTAAATAACAGCTTATATGTGGGAGGTCTACTTCTAATAACACTATAAGACTTTTTATGTAAAACTCATATCTAATATAGGTGTTAAGTAAGACAATATCGATAATGTTGGTGGTAGACTATATTTAAGCCTAAAAGTTTATTAATTTTTTCAAAGGCACCCACCAAATTTAGGGTTCATTCAAAATTACCTATGTAGAGAGTGTGGATGTGTACAAGTGTTTATTAGAAGTACTTTTATTAGAAACAATTTAAAATACCAGAAATTCAAGTGTTTTATGAAAAGCATCGAAAAATGTTGCATGAATAAGTACCTAGCAGGTGCTTGCAAACTTGGGCAATAACTCATAAATAACATTCTTTAGGTCTTGTCGATGCTTAGCGTCAGTGATTGGTGACTATTGATGCATGTCGAGGTCATAGTATATCGTCCACGCTAATATTAGATTTTGTGCGTTATAGTAGGCGAGTGTCACCAACAAAATTCATATTCTTAATATATACACATAAATGACTTTGGGAGAGTGGTGGATATGTCACTTCTGTTTACCACACTGCATTTTGAATTCGAATTTTCACCTCCTCTTAATTAGCTCAAAATAGAAATGTGTTTGTAATAACTTAAAAAAAAATGTCTTTGATCCAATATCAGTTTGTAGTACCAAATGTTCAAATTATGTTTTGTTTTGGGGTTGTAATATAATTTTTCTTTTTCATCACAATAAATAAATAGAATCGATCAAATTTATTTATTTGTTGATGGCGATCGATCAAATTTATGATGCACATAGGTATTCAACCACTACCTTTGATGATCATGATCTTTTTCTTGTGTTTTTCTTGTGGCTCTTCTTCCTGGAAGCTTCAGGAAAGGGATCTTCTTTGGATCCCTTCCATCTAATCCTACTTATCAAACAATTCAGGCCTTTTGATTAAACGGCTAAAATTATTATAACTTTTAGAGAGGACCTTATTTTTAGATGTTGGATCAAATTTCAAAAACCTGTATTGTTTGATAAGGAGAATTAGGTAGAAGAGATCTGAAAATGATCCCCTTCCGAAGCTTCGTAGTACAAAGTTCGATGGTGTATTGCATTGAAATGCTTTAACTTTGCCCCAAGTTTTCATGCAAGACTTTATTCCGTCAAAAGGGAAGCCTAACCTCCTACCATACATGGTCAAGGGTTGTCCAAAGTTAGTCATAGTCATGGTCATGGTAAAAGATTAGATGTATACGTCTATAAGATTCCAATTGACATAAACCCCAAAACAGATAATGTAACAACTCATATACCGGGGTTTGACTTCAATGCTATGTTACACTTATTTTTTGTACCATTCAGTTTTATGTCTTGTTAAAGAAAAATCACGAAGAATATATAATTTTTGTTGGAGAATAGAGTCTCATGCGAAAATATAACAAAATAACAACTTATATGTGAGAGGTCTACTTCTAACAACACTAGGACTTTCTATGTAAAACGCAAATTTAATATAGGTGGTTAAGTAGAACAATATCGATAATGTTGTTAGTGGATTGTATTTGAGAAGTCTTTTACTTTTTTCAAAGGTGCCCACCAAATTTAGGGTTCATTTAAAATCATTTAAAATCACTTTTGTAGAGTGTGGATGTGTACAAGTGTTTATTAGAAGTACTTTTAATAGAAATAGTTTAAAATACTAGAAATTCAAGTGCTTTATGAAAAGCATTGAACGGTGTTGCGTGAATAAGTACCTAGCAGGTGCTTGTACACAGAACACTACTAAAACTCATAAGCACTTTTAAATTGTTTTGTCAAATTTTAGTAACAATGTTCTAAAAATTTCCGACTAGGCAATAGGCAGCTGGATTTCGCTCTGATTAATTCATAGGCCTTTGAAAATTAAGAAAGAGCGCCTAAACTTATGTAGGTGCCCGTCTGGACCTTCTTAGGCACATGCCTAGATTGCGACCTTACTTAGACATAAAATAATGTTCAATAAATTTTAAGAAATTTGTTGAATACTTCGATGAACACTCATTATGTGCTTGTTTCTTATGTTTTAATTATGTTCTAATACTTTATAATCTATATGTCATTCTAATTTTTGTGTTTATATCTCCAAATACAATTATGTATTTTTTACTTATAAGTAGACATTTATTTCTATTTTATATAATAAATTTAACTAAAATCTTTGTATGCCGCTCGAATAGGGTGTAACACCTTTTAAAACCTTGTTTATCAATAAAGTTTTTGGTTGCCAAAAAAAAAAATTTTTTTTTTGTTACCATAAAACGCTTTTAATATCTCCAAAATCAATCCCGAGCAATAATACTATTTTAATACAATTGATCTTACCTATAAGCATCCCACGTAGTGAGATAGTGCTTTGTTATTGTTGATCTTACGTATAAGCGCTAATAATCCTTGTTACTACAAACGACACTACTACTTTAATTTATACTTGAGAAATGATTTTTTGAATCTAAGATATAGTATGGTAATGTGAAAATATTGGTAAATGAAAGAATTAGCAAATATTTTGGTTGTTTTTGCAACGAGCCCTTTTTCTGAGTACTAAATTAGTTGCGAACTCGTTAGTTTCTAAAAGGAATTGTTATTAACATTCTAAAAATTCCATTTGGCACTCTAAATTTTCTATAATTAGAAAGAAAAATACATTTGTGAGGAGTGTATAATGAGATTTTTGGAGTGCTAATAAAAATTTTCTTTTCTAAATTCGAACATAAAATTTTTCACTTAGAAGTGTAGAAGAATAATATTAGACTATAATACTAAATTGTATGCAAATTTTTATTTTTAATGAGTCATTTTATATGTGTTAAAGTGTGATCTGGATATTAAATCTTTTTCAAGTATGTTGCCAAAGCCAAGTAAAGAATTCATCGTAAAAAACTGATTAGTACTACGGTATAACGGTATTCCTCTTCGCTTGTAAATGAGAAGTCTTAAGCTTGATTTTCGTCAAAGATGAATTTGAAACACATTATTACTAGTTCATTGTGATGATAAGCCGATCCATTCTTCTTAATGTAAATAATATTCTTCATTAAAAAAGAATTATCTGTCAAAATGAATTCTAAAATTTATAAAAAATAAAATTAATTATGAGGGCATGAAGGGAACGAACCGAGAAGATGTAGAAAAAATATTTACTTTTCTAATCACCAAAAAGAATCACCAAAAAAAATTAATTGTGTTGCAAAGATTCGTACATCTCTTTAATCAACGGTCAAACCAAAAGATAACATCTGATTGGACCTTCCAGATTGACCCGGCTCTGTATATAACACAAAAGGACTGCAGTTTAATAATTTGCAGGTTAGCTACCAAACAGAAATAATTAAAAATCTTATTACGTATTAGAGAGATTTTTTAGTGTGATAGATACATAGATTTACAGAATGGTATATCACGTATTATTATATAAATATAGTAAGATATATGTGTTAAAAAATTAATAACTTAAAAAAATAAAATTTTTTCTTATTTATATAAAAATATGTGATATATCACTCGTGTTCTGATGCAGTAAAAAATTTCTCATCGAAAAGGAATGAAGAGAAAGGACACCACCCCCGCGAGAATAGGACCTTAGCCAATAGCAACTCAGGATCCACGACATTCAACCAATAGCCTCCCGCCACATCACCTACCCGCCAGCTGTCCCCCAGTCGAACGACGTCATCCGAGCGTTGCGTTTTCAATTTAATTATTTTAAACAGCATACGATGCTTCCCCGAAATTGTGATTAGCCTTAATCTCGATCCTGATTAATTACGATATCGATCTGCTATATAATTAGCGAGAGAGAGGGGGAGAGAGAGAGTGTGCGAGTGGGAAGGCTGAAAGCATATAAGTGGTAGTGGGATGCGCACGGCAACCGAGGATTTTGATCTGAAGCAATTTCTTGTCTTTCCCATCTATTTTCTTTCTTTGTTTCCTTCATTTTCCTAAGAAACAAACAGAAAATTTTCCTGGGAAGCAAACAGAAATTTTTACCGAGGTACGAAACCGGACCCTCTCTTCTGGAAAACTCCGTTATCTAGGAGAGTCAAATCCCTAAAACAGTTCGATTCCTTGTCCTATTCTTTCGCTGTTTTTGAATTTTCTTTCCGGAATTGAATCGACTTTTCCAGTCTTGATTCGATTAAGGGTTCTTGAATTCGGAAGGATTGAAATTTTTATCTCACTGAGAAAAGTTATCGTTTCTCTGTGTGTTGATTTGTGGTTGTGGTAGATCTAGATGGGGAAGGGAGGGCAGGATTTCGGTAAACGGAAAGAGGATGGAAACCCTAGGCCGGTGGACAGCGATGTGTTTCCGGCGTGGGCGAAGGATATTTTGGAGTGCGAGAAGCACTTTGGGGTTAACAGAAAATTAGGGTTGGGATCGGAGGACGGTCGAGAAGCGGCGGGAGAAGTACGGATCGAACGAGTTGGAGAAGCACGAGGGGCAGTCGATTTGGAGTCTGGTTCTGGAGCAATTCAATGATACTCTGGTTCGAATCTTGCTTGTGGCGGCGGTCATTTCTTTCGTTCTGGCTTGGCTGGATGGAGAAGAAGGCGGCGAGAAGGAGATCACGGCGTTTGTGGAGCCGCTGGTGATCTTCTTGATCTTGATTGTGAACGCGATTGTAGGGGTTTGGCAGGAGACCAATGCCGAGAAGGCCTTGGAGGCGCTGAAGGAGATTCAATCGGAGCAGGCGACTGTGATTCGGAATGGGAGTAAGGTTCTGAATTTGCCGGCGAAGGAGCTTGTTCCTGGTGACGTTGTGGAGCTTAAGGTTGGGGATAAGGTGCCCGCTGATATGCGTGTTGTGGAACTGATTAGCTCAACTTTGAGGGTGGAGCAGGGTTCATTGACCGGAGAGAGTGAGGCGGTGAATAAGACTAACAAGCCGGTCTCTGAGGACGCAGATATTCAAGGGAAGAAAAATATGGTTTTCGCAGGGACGACTATTGTGAATGGACATTGCATGTGCTTGGTTGCACAGACAGGAATGTCGACTGAAATTGGGAAGGTGCATATGCAAATCCATGTTGCCGCGCAGAGCGAAGAAGATACACCACTTAAGAAGAAGCTTAATGAGTTTGGAGAGATGCTTACAATGATAATTGGAGCGATTTGCATGTTAGTGTGGCTCATCAATGTCAAGTACTTCCTTACTTGGGAATATGTCAATGGATGGCCGGCAAATTTCAAGTTTTCGTTTGAGAAGTGTACATATTACTTTGAGATTGCAGTAGCATTGGCTGTGGCTGCTATTCCTGAAGGTCTGCCTGCAGTCATTACAACATGCTTGGCGCTTGGTACCCGTAAAATGGCTCAGAAGAATGCTTTGGTCCGAAAGCTGCCTAGTGTTGAAACTCTGGGTTGTACAACTGTGATTTGTTCGGATAAAACAGGGACCCTGACTACAAACCAGATGGCAGTCTCCAAACTTGTAGCTTTGGGTCCTAGACCTACTATACTACGGAAGTTTAGGGTGGATGGAACTACATACAATCCACTTGATGGTAGAATTCATGACTGGCCGACTGGTCGTATGGATGCTAATCTTCAAATGATCGCAAAGGTAGCTGCTGTCTGCAATGATGCAGGAATTATCCAGGCAGAACAGAAGTATGTTGCCCATGGAATGCCTACTGAGGCAGCTCTAAAGGTTATATATTTTAACCCTTTGTTATTGACTTTTTTAGGTGTTTTGATATTGTGCAATTCATTAATAAACTGATTAACATCACATCACAAAGCGCCTTCTTAGTACGTACCATTCTCAGAGTACATTATTTCCTTGCTTGTGATGACAATTCATTTTGTTAGAGAACTCTGCTTCATATTGAATATTTTGTTTTGTCACTTCAGGTTTTAGTTGAGAAGATGGGCCTTCCCGAAGGATCCAAGGGTGCGGAATCATCAAATGAAAGGGATTTGCTTGGTAAGTCAAACTTCCGATATAAATGCTTGCACTTTATCTGTTTTGTTACAACTTTGAATTGGTAAGTTTACATACTCTGATACTATGTTTATATCTTTTGTCAGGTTGTTGCCAGAAGTGGAGTGAATTGGAACGCCGAATTGCAACCCTTGAGTTTGATCGTGATAGGAAATCCATGGGTGTAATTGTCAATTCCCGTTCTGGAAAGAAGTCATTGCTAGTGAAGGTTCGTATTCTAGTTTAAGTTTCAACAACTTCATGAATTGTTATGTTCATTCACTGTATTTAATCTAACATCCAAATTGTGGCATGCTCTGATTTTATGAAACTGGGAAAGTTTGAAGTGTATTTGTGAAGTAAGGTGTAAAGGGCGCATGATTCATAAGGAATGAGTGAGATTTAAAAGAAGATATATTTATTCTCATGAGAATGTTAAGGTGGAAGTTATGCTACACTGATTTTCTTTTTCACCAAAGTCTCCCTCTTTTGAGACTTTGCAAGCTGTGTATCTGTCAAGGCGCTAGGGTTTCTGTTCAGATGTTTATCAACCATATGTTCGGAACTGAAAGTTTTTGTAGTTGAATTCACCTTCTCACAATATACTGAAATTGCATATTCAGTTGTGCTGTATACTCTACTGTTAAATTGAATATTCGTATTTAAATTAGAAGTTACAAGCATGAACAGAAGAAGGGACTTCACTGTTTTTCAGTTGTATTCCCTTTTTTTTTTTTTTTTCCCTCTAGTATTATGCTGCTTGTTTCCTCTCTGGTATTAAATGATAAGTCGAGCATGAGCAATTGTGTTGCCCTTCATACTCCCTTTCTCTCCCTCCATCTTTAAATAAAAAAATGTCTTAAGGAATATTGTGGACTTCTGAATGAGGTGCTGCATTATTGCAGGGTGCTGTAGAGAATTTGCTGGAGAGAAGCACTAAGGTTCAGTTGCTTGATGGCACTGTTGTACCTCTGGATGATAGCTCAAGGAACTATATCATGCAAGCTCTTAATGAGATGTCAACTAGTGCACTGCGCTGTTTGGGTTTTGCATACAAAGATGAGCTTGGTGAGTTTTCATCCTATGATGGTGAAGATGATCATCCAGCTCATAGACTTTTACTTGATCCATCCAATTATTCGTCAATTGAGAGCGACCTTGTTTTTGTTGGCCTTGTTGGACTGAGGGTAAGTTGTAACATGGCTGTTGTCTACATCTTTTTAGTCATATATATCATCACAGTATCTTCATTTATTGAACAAACTGTGATTATTGAATTTAAATTTTTTTTAAAGGATCCGCCAAGAGAGGAGGTTTTTGATGCAATTGAAGACTGCCGAGCAGCAGGAATTCGTGTTATGGTAATCACTGGAGATAACCAGAACACAGCAGAAGCAATATGCCGTGAAATAGGCGTGTTTGGGGCTGATGAAGACATACATTCAAGAAGCCTTACAGGAAAAGAGTTTATGGGTCTACGTGATCAGAAAGCCCATCTAAGACAAGGTGGTGGCCTTCTGTTTTCAAGGGCCGAACCAAAGCACAAACAAGAGATTGTGAGGTTGCTCAAAGAGGATGGTGAGGTGGTTGCTATGACTGGTGATGGAGTGAATGATGCACCTGCTTTGAAACTTGCTGATATTGGGATTGCAATGGGCATTTCTGGAACTGAGGTATTTATTTACTTAGTTTCTCTTGTTTTGTTTTTCTCATGCCTACTTCTTGGGTTACCTATCTTGGCATTAATTAAATTTTGATGCCCCTTGATTGGAGGAATGTAATATTGTATGAAACCTAGAGTTAGTTTATAGACAAAGGTTTTTGCATGAACTAAACCTTCAAATTATAGTGAGGTCAAATGAGGCATATTTTCGTTAGTTCTATGTGATTTCATTCATAGATTTAAATGGAGTGTCCCGTGAAACAGGATTTGTGTTACCCACCCATGAATCTTAAGAATACGGAAGCGTGAATATATTGTAAATCACTTTTTGTAAATGTCCATGTTTTTTAGCTTAAGTTACTCATTCGTATCATGAACTTTTCATTTCTTTGCAATTGCAGGTTGCAAAGGAAGCTTCTGACATGGTTTTGGCTGATGATAATTTTAAGACAATTGTTGCAGCTGTTGGTGAAGGCAGATCTATCTACAATAACATGAAAGCCTTTATCAGGTTAGCATTTTTTAGTATCATACATATTGATATAAAAACTTATGAATGATTGCCTTTTGAAGCAACCACGTATCGTCATACATTCTAATATTAACATTTATTCTGGAAACTAATATTAGCATTTAATCCCAGAAATTTTGTTAGCTTGCACAAGTAGTTTTCCTCTTTTTGATGCTTAAACATGTATGTGTTTTCTTTCAAGATTTGAAGTCTTAAACCCTGTTTCAGGTACATGATCTCGTCCAACATTGGTGAGGTTGCCTCCATTTTCTTAACAGCAGCATTAGGCATTCCTGAAGGCCTCATTCCTGTTCAGCTCTTGTGGGTGAATCTTGTTACTGATGGACCACCTGCAACAGCACTAGGATTTAATCCTCCAGACAAAGACATAATGAAGAAGCCCCCACGCAGAAGCGACGATTCACTTATCAGTGCCTGGATATTATTCCGCTATATGGTACCTTACTCTTTCTTCCCATTTGTTGCATTTTAATGATACAGTTTGGCAAATTTACCTGAGAACTTTCTTGATAATTTTTTCACCTGAATCTTTGTCTGGACAGGTTATTGGGATGTATGTTGGACTGGCAACTGTAGGCGTATTCATCATTTGGTATACACATGGTTCCTTCCTTGGTATTGACCTCAGTGGGGATGGCCACTCCCTTGTGACTTACTCCCAACTTGCTAACTGGGGACAGTGCTCATCTTGGACAAATTTCACCGCTTCACCCTTCACAGCCGGAAATGAGGTCCTCTCCTTTGATAACCCCTGTGATTATTTCCATACTGGCAAAGTGAAAGCTATGACACTATCCCTCTCAGTGTTGGTCGCCATTGAAATGTTCAACTCTCTCAATGCCCTTTCTGAGGACGGAAGCCTGCTGACCATGCCCCCATGGGTCAACCCCTGGCTTCTGGTGGCCATGTCTGTTTCATTCGGCCTGCACTTCTTGATCCTGTATGTGCCATTCTTGGCTCAAGTATTTGGCATTGTGCCCCTGAGCTTAAACGAGTGGCTTCTGGTATTGGCCGTTTCACTCCCAGTGATTCTTATTGACGAGGTCCTCAAGCTTGTTGGAAGATGGACAAGCGCTTCTCAAATATCCAGGAGGACAAAACCATCAAGGCCCAAGACAGAGTGAGGTGAGTTCCAGACTTCCAGTAGGTTGATAACTCTCGTCCGAGAGGTGCGCACTCTTAATATTTGTTTACCCGGAAAACGGGTTTTACATCTGAGGCAACAAATTTAAACCGTGGGTCTTAATTGGACTCTCTTCCCGTTTTAGTCAGGGATGGTCTGGCTGTTGAAGAACTGATCAGCAATATCTTTTTCTAGGTTTTTTGTATAACTGGATAACTTTGCCCCCATTTTTATTAGTGATGCAACACTAGAATTATGCAAGTCTTTATCTTTTGCCTCTTCGAGGATGATATAGGTCACCTGCCAACTTGGATTTCGTATTGATACTTGCTTCCTTAGTAATCTGAAACCAAATGGAATATTTTCTCAACCATAAATCTCCCATGCCGTTCGAAACCTCTTAAATAAAACGTCGGGAAAACAAAGAGGACGCCCGACTAACAAACTCTGGAGTTGTAAGAAAACAAGAGTATGGCGCAAGGGATGTGTGATGAGGAATTTGCGCAAATGCTTTCTTCTATTTGGTTGTTTAGCTGTCTTGTGGGGCAAGGTTTTGAGTTGTTGACTCAGCTGGATTACCAGTTTTGCTTTCAACAGTGAGACTGCCCGACCCTGGCTGAAATGGTTTGATTTGTCTAGAAATTCATCTTCAATTGAGGACTGTATTATAATTTTATGGAGCTTATTGGGCCATTATTTGATCGATGGGCATCAAGCTGGCTAAATGTAGCTTCCATCTGAAACCTTTATTTGGGCCTAGCTTCTTTATCACAATAATTGATTCAATTCAACGACCAAATTTGAAAATATACAATGGTAATTTAAATAAATTAACCAGTGAATTTAACGTATAAACATAAAACTAATAAATTATTGGAGGGTTATGTGTATCCTCTTTGATTGGAGATGATATATTAGTATGCTTGACACTTCGTTTAAAAATATTTTTTTGCAGGGTTATAATTCTGGACAGGACTATATTTATCATTTTCAGTTGGAAATGACGGATGCTATATGTCAGGCTTTTGGAACGACCCTAGATTCTTTTGATATAAAATCTACACCATTCGTACCAAGAAAGAAATAAAACATTATGCCGTTGCAAAAAAAGATGAATGTATTCTTTTGGAACCTAATTCTATGCCTATTGTAAATTCTACTCTTGTTCTTATTCTCTAAAGATTTGAGGCATTGTTTCGTACCAAGATGAAAAACCAACTATTCAAAGAAAATAAAATAAGGAGAAAGTGCAAAATGGAAATATAACATTGTAGGGTTTATGAAGAGTCGAATACTTGTGCATAAGATTTAGAGATTTAGCGTTGGTTTGGTCAATTTTCACTTTTTATGCTTGAGATATAGAGAAATTGTTTGAGGAAATTGAGTGAGAATGTAGGATGATTAGAGGCATGGGAAGAAATAAAAGAAGAACGAATGAAAACAGAGTATTGAAAATGAAAACAACTTATATAAGTTTTTATTGTCTACCTTTCTTTGTATATTTGTTCCACATCTCTCTCACATCATGTCCACTCTTCTTCAATCCTTATTTTATTTTTATAAATGATAGCATTAGTGGATTAAAGTGTTAGTTATTAGGAGGAAGGGGGGTTGTGAGCGGATTGAATGCGCACCATGGTGCATAAGCATGATTATTTTCCGTTATTAAAACATCATTTGCTCTTCGTTCCTCGTTCCTCCCCTATGCTTTTCGCATATATTAAGCACAAATGTGAAATTTAAAAATCGAATGATTATAAAATGGACCCTCAGATTTTTCGGACGAGACAAGGAAGCACTAACAAAATTGTTTCGTTTTATATTGAGAGGAGAAAACCGAACTCAGAACATTGAATGTTTTAAGAAAAGTGTCATGTTAAATCATGGGTTTTATGTGCTGAGCTCCACGAGTTGACCCCCAATGCCATTTACATAACAATGTAACACAAATGGCACTAGCCCAGTGGATATTAACTACTTTTTCCATCCATTTTATTATTTGATATTTTCTCGCCTACAAAGACCAAACCATGCAGTGAGTCCACAGTAGATGTAACATCCTTACCTAACCATGACCAATATCATATGCTAGGAAATAATAATTAACAAAGAAAAGGTTAATAGGTTAAACTACTAATTAATTAGCTAGGAAATTAAGCTAAAGGTATCAAAGCAGGACGTGGAGAATGGGGTTTTCGTGAAGAAATGGAGGCGTGTAGAAAACAGATTAGGAGGCTCAGGTCATCCCTCCTCCATGTCAAAACAACCAAACCCGTAAAAGATAGAGCTAATAGTCAGAATTCATGTTGAATAAGCAAAAAATTGACAAAATTAAATATGATATATTATACGACCTTATATCTAATTATATTGAGATATTTTGTAATATGAGATTAGTACAAATGGTACGATAGTCAGAAGGAGACAATTGTGGTGTGAGTAGTGGTGAGCCGCTAAGTTGACATTAACATTTGATAATTTCTCTTTTCACGTCATGTATTTTAAAATTTTTATTTTTTTATTTTATTTTATTTTTTTTATTTTTTACGAGAGGGAAGATTTCGATACTATTACAACAATTTAAAGAAGGAGAAGTTTCGAATCCGGAACACATGAATAGAACTCAATACTATATTCAGCTGGAATTTTGAACTATCGTTGCAACCAATTAGGACCCTAGGCAATTGCACGTCAACTTTTTAATTGAAATGAGAAAAAGCAACCCTAATTATCCAATAAAATGAGTTTGGTGAGGTCAAGAGTAATAAAGGATAAAAATTGGGGGTTTTCTTGATTTTGATGGCCAACCTATTTTGTTGAGAAGTGGAGGGGAAAATTGGTGACATTAATTAATAAGATTACACAGTAACAATACTAATAAGATTACACAGTAGCAACACAGTGAAACCTTAAAGTAAACTATAAAACTTTCAGCCTGGTTGGGAGAGTTCTTTTGGCAGAACTGAAAACTCTTTTAGATAAGAATTATTTTTAATTTTTTTATAATATTTGACTAAAATAGATAAAACTCCCTTCGAAGATTGGAAATGCTCTTATGGTGCTTGCTTAGTAAACATTTGCACATAAACATGTAGCTGCCCTGAACTTACTGAAAATTTTCACGTGTTATATGCACTTCTTCGGTTGCATGCATGTATGCACGGAGAATCTTACCAAGAAAATGTCATACATACACTCTGTTTGTTCATACTATATATGTGATGAAGCACTTATTAGTGAACACTTGAAAACCTGAATGTAGTACTAAGCAATTGTTAATTTAGTCATACTTCTGTTTTTAGTGTTGAAAAATGTTTGAAGTTCGAATTCCTTCTTCTCCAATAAAGATTCAAAAAAGAAAACCTAAGTTTAATACTAGTTAGATGTTAGTAACATAGTCTAGTGATACTTTTTTTCTTAAAAGATGTTTCAAGTTTAGAAGATTTTGAACGATGATTTAAAAAAGAAAACCCAATAATATATATACAAATTTAGAATTTTAAGCCTACAAGCGAAAGAAATTCCCAAGTCACTTGGGTATGGTAGTTAGTACTCACTACGAAAACTCTGAATTGCAATGAGATAGTTGTAAAAGTGAGCCAACTCATGTATCCTTTACCCCTTTGGACTTGGTAACTAGTGTGGAGAAATAGAAAGCTGAACACAACTTCCTCTCCCTCTCTTCTGACCAACTAAAGAAGCATTCACGCAAGCAACGGTTGGACACTTAAAACTCACCAAACACAGTGACCATCGTCATCACACTCACTTTCTATATATCTTTGCTTTCAAAGAGCCCTCCTACTAATTATCAAACCCCCCACCCCAACAATGGAGCTCATAGATTTCAACCCGAGACCCCGGGGCCTAAACCCTACCCTCGCCGAGCTCCTCCAGTGGGTCGAAGATGTGGAGAGTTCCAACAACTCTCCTTATGATCATGTTCTTCAGTTAGGGTACGGTTGCACCTCCGTGCCTTCCTCCTATCCCTTTGTCCTCTCATTCACTAATCTCACGTACAG